TCCCTGTAGGTGGAGGAGGGCATGGAAACAGCGCTGGGCGGACAGCAGGATTGTGGGGGTCACAAGGAGCCAGCCCAGAGCCTTCTGGCAAAAACAAACTATTTGCACCCAGTCCAGACAGGCAGGAACATCTGTGCTGGCACCCAGCGCTGAGCTGGGGCACGTGGGGGACAAAGAGGGCATGTTTGCCTTGTTGGGCATTAGGTCTTAAGGACCTGACTATTTATCTTCTGGGTAGTCAAAGCTGGCTGGGACCATTCCCTGGGTAAATCTCTTCCCTGGCAAGCACCCCTGTCTGCCTTGCATGTACTCCAGCATCTGAGGGCGAGGTCATCCCATCCTGGCCCACCATCACCTTGCAGAGATGGATGGCTTCAGGCACTGGGGAAGATCTCTCTGCTCACAGCCAACTTACCACGTGGACTTTTCCCACCCTGTAGTGCCCTGTAGCAGATGGACCTCTGCCCACTTTGCAGGCAGCCACGATGGCAGCACCAGAGTTAAGGCAGGTTGGAGGCTGCTGGAATGCCACCGGACAAAGCTGGGATTGAGGCCGGCTGCGAGGCATTGCCGCCCCCCTCCAGATTCCTGGGGGGTCAGTGCTCACCCCGCTCTGCTGAGCACACGGCGCTTGCCTGCGTCCCTGCCGGGTGCTGCCTGGCAGCACCCGGAGGGCTGAGAGATGATGCCCACTCCTCTGGCGACACTGACGGTGGATCTGTGGCTGAGGATGGAGAGATGGACTCTCCAGAGCCCACGTGAGTGCTCCGTTCCCAAAACCAATGCTGTTCAAGGGTGGAGGGGGAATGTGGATGCAGGCTGCTGCTGCTGGGTCTCTAGGAAAGGGATGCTCAGGGGGACAGCACTGCTTTTTCCCTCTGCTTGCTTGCAGGGGTCTTCTCCCACAGTTCAACACCTGGTCCCTGCTTGGCTACTGTCACTGGTTCATCTACTGGCTGTGGTCTGGGAGTCACAGGTTTGGGAGGGTTTTAACTTCTTAAACAATGCAGGAAGAACTGTGCTGTCTGCTGAGGTGTTCTGCACTTGCACCCAGGTAGTGCCGATCCCCTACTTGGCTATCTCCTGGGATAGAGGGCAGGGCTGGAGCATTCCCTGGCAGTGCTGTGGGAGTAGCCTACTTCAGTGTTATGAGGGTGTGCACGTGCAAGGTGTTGATTTTCCTACGTGCAAACAGCAGCTTTAGCTTGAGTGGTTCATTATTTGTGGTCACAAGTTTCCTGTGAGCTCTGTGGGTGATGGTTTTATCTGTTTTCTTGATGCTCCTGGAGTGGCAGAATGGGGAGGCAGAGAGCAGCCTGGTGTTAGGTGATTTTTAGATGAAGCAAACTTGGTACCAGTCTTGGCGATCATTTGATGCGTGGGGAGGGTATTGTTTCAGCTGCGTGGCCAAATTCCTTGTCTGGTGTTTTCCTCTTGCCTGCTGTTCTCTTTGGCTTGGCTGGGTCTGTCCCCTGGACATGTCCAGGAGCCCTTGGACAGGACAAGTGATGAGTGTCTGCATACTCCCCTTGGAAGAGCTGCTGCTTTCCCCCTGAGGCGGCTGTGCTTCTCTGGCAAAGGGGTGCGTGTTGTATGTGCTGTTTAGAAAGTCCTAATGCAGTTAATTATGGTTGATTAATCACCTGGGGATAATAACCACAAATGAGCTCTGATATCAAAGTAGCATAAGATCGAAATGCTGCCATTTCCCCAGCAAAGTGCACCAGTGTCTCACTTGTGGAAATGCAGAATGTCTGTGTGTTTTGCACAACCAACAACGTTTTTTGGAGAGGAAATCCCCTCTCACTCACTATGTGAGATGCTTCCAGTCCTGCTTGTGTGTGTTGCTGTCGCCAGAAAGTGCAGTAATGTCTTCACTGCCATCACGAGTGCGAGTGGCTTGGGAGATGATTTCTTCCCCCATCCGCTGAGGATTTGTTGTCCTGGGATCAGCACCCCGTTTTCCAGGCTGAGCAGCAAGGCGCAAAGTGTGTGTCCTTTGTGTCGCTGGGTTAGGATTTGCTGCCATCTGCTCTGTAGCCTCTCAGAGCATCCTTCCCACCACTGCTCGCTCTGGAGAGGTGCGGAGGAGAAGTGGCATCTGTGGAGGAGAAGCAGCATCTCAGATTCACTGTGCAGGCAGAGAATAACCTTGTGCTTCTGTAGAGGAGCAGGTGGCAGCTCTCAGTACTAGGGATGGTGTAAAGGAGGTTGGCAAGTCCCCTTGGTCCCTAGGAACAAGAGGAGCCACAGCGCTTGCCTCTTCTCCAAGCACAGCAGCCCTGGAAAGAAATTACTGTGACCCACAAGGGCCAGCTCTGAATTAATACCTAGAAGTGAGATAAGATCATTGCTGGGTAACTGAGAAGCATAGAGATCTTACAGAACAGGAGATGTGCAGTAAGCCCTTCCTTCAACCTTTGCTGCTGGAGCTGGCACTGTGTCCTTCCTCCAGACATGGCCATAAGCTTCCCTGGAGCTGCTCACAGACCCCTCTGGGAGCAGGGCTGCCCCTTTGTGAGCTGAAAAGCCAGGCAGGGTCAGGACAGAGCGGGGAAGGCGTCTCCAGCCAAGCGCTGTAAGCCCAGGGCAGCAATCTGTGGATGCAGCGTGGTTCTGTTTCTGCCTAGGTTGAAGCTTCGCAGGATGGTGCAGGACCTTTGTGTGTAACCCCCCGAGCTCCAAGCGGTGCTGCCAGGCCCCAGGCCCCTCTGGAGATGAATCTTTGCTGGAACGAGATAAAAAAGAAATCCCACAGCCTTCGGTAAGAGTCCTTGCCTGGAGGAAACCCAGGGGCTGGCCTGGCCTTGCAGCCTTGCCTGCTGCATGTGCTTGTCAGGAGGCTTTTGAGTTTGTTTGCTTGATGAGCCACATGAATTCACGGTGACCTTGGCTCAGTTTCCCCCCTTGTCCACAGACCTCTGAGTCTTTCTCCCTGCATTCGCGGAGGGATGGGTGGAAATGAAGGGAATGCTTTTCAGTGAAGAAAAATGGGAACCCTCCATGCCATGCGGGGGGAACAACCCTTCCAGACCATCAGAGGTTGCTGCTCCACAGCCAGCATGATGGAGAGCTTAACTGGGGCATGCTAATTGTCTGCTGCCTTAATGTAAGGCTCCTGGAAGCTGCCCAGTCATGCAAATGCCAAGCCAAGCCCCCCCCTCCACCTCCCTGTGCCAGCCAGGGCACAGACCTGACCCACAAATGCAGAGCGGCTCTGTCCTCTGCTCCAGGCCCCAGGGTGATGAATAGCCCCAGAGTTTCCTTTCCCCAAAGCCTCTGTGCTCCTGCAGGGTCTGTGCTGGCTGGGGGTCACGTCCAACCTGTGCTGAGGGTGCTGTTCATCACTGGTGGGTCCTGGGGGCTCCCGGGGTCACCACCCCAGCCACAGTGTTGTAGCTCCCCTACCCGGGGAACTTGCTTCTCTCCTGTCTGTCTGACCGCTGTCCTGCTGTCCTCCTCCTCCTGCCAGAGCTCGGCTGGAGGCCTTTTCCGACCACAGTGGGAAGCTGCAGGTGCCTCTCCAGGAGATCATTGACTGGCTGGGGCAGAAGGATGAGGAGCTCTCGGCACAGCTGCCCCTGCGGGGCGATGTCCTCCTGGTGCAGCAGGAAAAGGAGACACACGCGGTACGTTTGCTTGTACCTTCGCTGCAAAGATGAGCTGTGGGTGGGCAGCCCTGCCTGGGAGACCCCGGCCTTGCGTCACTGCCCATGCCACTGCCTAGGAGCACACCAGTTCTTGCCTGTGTCCATCTCTGCTTCCTATGGAAAGGCAAAGCCCCAATCTTGTAGCAAATACCCATGGCACGCAATAAGCAGAGGCTGTCTGTTTTTAGACAGTAAAATCTGCATTACAGGCTCCAGTCACTCACAAGTGCTGCAGCTGGTGGTGGGACCCACCACTTCTCTCCTAGTTTCCTCCTTGTGTCCTACCTTAGCAGCAGAGGGAATTGCCTCTTGTTGGCCTCTGCTTTTGGGATCCTGGGGCCTGAGGAGGTCGGTTGGTCTGAAGGTGACCTGGTGGCTGGGACATGAGTGATTCCTGCACATTATCATCATATCTGAAACTGGAGTAAACCCAGACGGATTGGAGTTTCCTGCTGTTGGGATTTAGTTGTTTTCACCTTGAAAACAAAACTAAACTGTTGCTTACTGCTGCTATCCCTCACCCTCACTGGAGCCAGCCACTTCCTCAGCACACAAATACCTGATCCAGCAGGCAGCACAAGTAGGGAGCTGCAGTTAGAGGGGAGGAGAGGATATCCCAAACCAGCCAGCCTCTGAAGTTGAATATACTGCTTTGGGACACCCTGCTGTTCCCTTCCTTGCTCCTCCAGCAGCTGGGACCTGTTGCAGAATAGCTGCTGGAAGGCCTGTTTGCATGGCCATGCTCTTGTTGCATAAGTGAGGAGTGTCTCAAAGTCGTGCCTATGAAAGCATCATTGATAAAAGCAGTTTCTCTTGCACAGCCCTGGCTCAACACACACATCTGGGCTCGCAGTACTGCCTCTCCCCCTCCAGCAAACCTGCAGTCCAGGCTTCTGCAGGAGCCACTCTCTTGCAGGTGGTCATTCCTTCCCCGAACTGCACAAATATTTCTGTTAACTTCTCTCTGTGCCCCCAGTGAGATTTGGGCCCTGCGGTGAATAAATCGCTGCACCCCTTGGCAAGGGTGCAATTCTCTAGCTCAGCCTGCTGTTCTCATCTCTGTGGTCTGCTCTCCAGGCTTTCATGGAAGAAGTGAAGTCCCGAGGACCATACATTTATTCTGTCCTGGAGTCAGCACAGGCTTTCCTTTCCCAGCATCCGTTTGAGGAATTAGAAGAACCAACTTCAGAAAGCAAAGGTCTGTGGAGCTGCCCTTTCCTTGTTCTCCCATAGCACAGCTCCTCCTAGGCTGGACCAGAGAGCGTAGGGTGGAGGTGGTGTGGCACAAAGCAACACATCAGTGCTCTGCCTCATGCCATCAAGGGTGTACATCTCATGAGATGATATTAGATATGCTCTGGGGTAGATTTTTAAAGGGCAGCAGGGCTTCCTCCTGTAAGGACAAACAGGTCTGTGGGCAGGCTGGATACCTGGAGGAGCTGGTGCAGCGATGGGTACTATTATTACTTGTTTTCCTTCCCTCTTTCCAGTTTTGCCTAGATTTTTTTGTATCTCCCTTTTCCCTGCCCTCCCACCATCTCTTACCCACTCTTCTCTGGGCTGGGCTCCCATTTTTGCTCTCTGATCCTCTTCCGCTTTGCCTCCACAGATGTCTCTCCCCGGCACCGGATCCAAAACATCAGCCGCTTTGTCTGGAAGCAGGCGAACGTGGCCAGTGAGCTGTGGGAGAAGCTCACAGCCCGGTGCGTGGACCAGCACCGTCACATTGAAAGGACACTGGAGCAGCTGCTGGAGATTAAAGGGGCCATGGAGGAGCTCAGCACAACCCTGGATCAGGCTGAAAGTGTGCGTGAAACCTGGGAACCCATTGGGGATCTCTTCATTGACTCCTTACCAGAGCACATCCAGTCAACCAAGGTACGGAGAAGGCTCTGAGAAGGCTCCAGCCTTCGCCTTAAAGGTGATGAGATGCTGCTCCTCCTGACTGCTCAGTCCAATGCAGCCTCATTTCTTGGGGTCTTAGGGACCAGGTTTCCCCTCTGACAGCCTCCTGTCTTTCTGAGGGTGGATTTGACCCATGGTGTCCTGAGAAACTGGCCGTTGTCCATGTCCCATTTCTCAGGAGATTCGAGTAATCTCCAGCCTGGCTCATTTAGTTTGCTTTTTTTTGTCTTTCCCACTAAGGTAGCCTGTGGGAGGGTCAGTCACCAGCTTCTTGCTAGCCACTAGCCCACCCTAGGTTGTAGCAGAGGAATCAGATCCAAGTCCTGACCACTCATCTGCTTCTTTTCCTTCTTCCTCTGCCCTGTGCCTGTTCCCCTGGGCACGGGGCTCCAGCTGTTCAAAGAGGAGCTCTCCCCCATGAAGGATGGGGTGAAAGTGGTCAACGATCTTGCACACCAGCTTGCCATCTCAGATGTCCACCTGTCCATGGAGAATTCCCGTACTCTGGAGCAAATCAACACTCGCTGGAAGCAGCTCCAGGTGGGAAGGAGTCAGGACCAACCCAAGGAGGGAGGATGCTGGGGAAGGGCTGTCACTGCTGAGTTTCAGGGACCATAAAGTAGGGCTTGGCGTAGCAGGGGCGACATCACTGGTGTTTCTGGAGGAGGAGAACATCAGTTCAGTGTGAGGAAAGTGGCTGGTAAAGCTGAGCAGTAAAAGGCAATGGGATGCTGTCTGAGGAGAGTCAGGATCTGATGGGGGCATCAGTATCAGCTGTGACTTTGTAGATGTCTGTGGAAATGTAGATCCAGGTGAGCTGGAGATGTGGGCTATGCTGCCTCAGCCTGTGGGAGAAGGTGTAGGGGGCTGAGCAGGCGAGGAAGGAAGAGGACCTGTGTGCTGGGGCGTGCCTGGGTCCATTCACAAGCCCTCCTGAATTGAGCTTCACTCTGAAATGTCTGATGGTCTGCCACTGACTTCTTCTGTCCTGTTCTCCAGGCCTCCATAAATGAACGCCTGAAGCAGCTCCAAGACGCCCACCGGGACTTTGGACCAGGCTCCCAGCACTTTCTCTCCTGTACGTGAGCAGGTCCTCCTGCTATCCTGCTGAGAGCCTGCCTCTGCAGAGGGGCTTAGCGTGGGTTGTGGCACATGAGAGTGGGGTGCAGAGTCCTGTTGCTGGGCTCAGAGCCATGCGTGCAGCTAGAAAAGGGGCTGGTGCGCAAGAGCCAAAGCAGGAGGCATCTCCCAAAGTTAGCATTGTGCTACCTCGCCTTGTGGGACCAAGGGTGGGACAGGAGTGTGGTTCCCCTGCAGACTGCAGAGCTGTGACACTCGCAGCAGCAGCTCCCAGGTAATACTGGGACAGTGCCAGCCTCAGAGACTGGGTGGGCAAGGCAGCAGATGGCAGAAAAAGGCAGTGTCCCATATCCCATGTTAGTCATTTGGAGGCCAAAAATAGTTGAGGGTCATAAAAGGGCTTCTGTCCTTCAGATAACAAAAATAGGGTGGCAGACAACTGGTATGGGGCGTCCTCATCTTCCCAAGATACTGGGAACAGCAGATACTGTTGGTGCCCAAGCCTGGCCGTAACACAGCCAGGTGATGCAGTGTGTGTCTCCAAATCCCAGTTGCTGTGAGCCCTGCCCACTGGTCACCACAGCATTGCCTTGAGTATCACCAAAAGCATCAGGAAGTGTCTCTTCACAAGTTCTGAGCTCAAGCAAATTCTCCTGTCTCACACAAAGACCAGATGCTCTGACAAGACCAGCAGTATTGCGCCTCTCTTATAGTGAGCATCTGCTTGCCTGCTTCAACACCCCCAGTTGGTGGTTTGGGAAAGCACAGCCTCTTCAGAGGCACCCACCTGCTGGCATGGTCCCACTGGGCTGTCATCAGAACCAGCATCAACCTAGAGGAGCATCCGGTGCTGATGTGACATCTGTGTCTCTCTCCTTGCAGCCTCTGTCCAGGTTCCCTGGGAACGGGCCATTTCCCCCAACAAAGTGCCATACTACATCAAGTGAGTGTGCTCCCAGCAGCAGCCTGTGCTCTGCTCTGATCCAGCAGCCTGTGTCTGCAGTTGCTTAATTCCCAGCTTCACTCTTGGTTTCCTTCTGTTTTCCCTCCAGCCACCAGGCCCAGACGACATGCTGGGACCACCCGAAGATGACGGAGTTGTACCAGACGCTGGGTAAGGAGGCTGCCCCAAAGCCACCTGAGTCACATCCGCCTCTTCGCAGTGTGAGGTGCTATGGGAGATGCCTCCAGACCTCTGTGGCACAGGGTCCCCTCAAAGCAATGGGATGCAACACCCTGCCAGGCTCTGCCCCTCTGCTTCTGCTGGTGGGGCTGGTGTCTGGGATCCACAACTGCTGCTTCCTGTGCTGGAGATAAAGATGTTGAGCTGTGGTTTTATTCTTTTCCTGTGTCATTGCAGCGGATTTGAACAACATCAAGTTCTCGGCTTATCGGACAGCGATGAAGCTGCGTCGGGTACAAAAAGCCCTGCGATGTAAGTGCGGGAAGTATTTCCCTCCTGCTATGTCTCCCTAGATAGAGGCATTAAACTAACACGGGCTATTGTCAGCACATCAAAGGCAGGAGCCCACCAGGGGACAGGTGAAGCACCAGGAAGATAAGCCTGTGGCTGGAAAGCTGAGCAAATCCACCCACGAGGTGTCTATGTCCCTTTCTTTGCAGGCTTAGGGTGGAAATGCCTCAAGGGCAGGTGTTAGTGGAAGGGATTTGAGGACAAAGTGGTCCAGCTCAGAGTTACAAAGCTGTGGGATCAGGCAGGGGCTCACCCAGGAACTCCAAGGGAGCTCAGAGAAGCTGTGGATGTATCTAAGAGCAGAAACGAGCCCTGCTGGCAGAGGCACAGGGGGCTGCAGGTTGGAGGAGGAGAAAAGGAGCCAATAAACCTGACTTCTGCACTCTCGGTAAAACACTGGTTAAAATTAGGATTGACAGCCAGGTGAATATGATGTGATAGGTGTTCAGCATGATGTGTGGCTCTCCAAGGGGCAGAAACTGCTCCTCAGGAACTGCTGAGCAGGCAGATGGGAATCTGATAGATGTGGCATCCTTGGCTGCTGGAAAGATTTTCGCAAGGCCTCTTGCCTGAGGCTCTGCGAAAATTAAATAGCAGAAGGACGAGGGAAAAGCCTCTCTTGAATTAATTGTTCCTGATGTGAGGGAGACACAACCAGGTGACAGTGGGGTCCCAGGCAGACCTGTGCTCCTTGGCATCTTGTGAAAGGCCTGGAAGAAGGTGATGGGTGAGGGTCAGGAGGAGTCTGGTACTCATGGGAGCCAAACCCTGGCTGCAGAGTAGTTTCATACAGGACCAAGCTGTCCTGTATCTGGCGACATTCAGGGTTGATGTAGCACAAATGGGGGAAAGCAGGAGTTAGCTTTTGACACCCTACAAGGATGTCCATGGAGCAGCACCCAGGGGAACACCAGGCATGATGAGGAGAAAGCCAGAGCGCAAAGCAGAGCCCTTCTATGTGCTGATCAGGGGGAGTTTGGTACTCGTGGGAGCCAAACCCTGGCTACAGAGTAGTTTCATGACACTGTTGTGACCAAGCTGTCCTGTGTCTGGGGACATTCAGGGTTGAGTTAGCTTTTGCCACCCTGCAAAGATGTCCATGGAGCAGCAGCCAGAGAAACACCAGGCATGGTGAGGAGAAAGGCAGAGCGCAAAGCAGAGCCCTTCTATGTGCTGCTTGTGTGTCTTTGGTTCCTACCTTTTCTCATGTGCTGTGCAGCGCCTTCTTCCCAGCCCAGAAATGTGAAAGAACGTGAATAAGTTCTTCTTATTCAATATGTACTTGAGAAGGGCAAGGAGGCTGCCAAGGCATCTTCCCCATGATGAGAGGTTTGGTGGAGCGAGTGGCAGTGTGGGGCAGCCCCGGTGCAGCCGTGGGCAGTGTGGGCGTGGGGGTGAGCAGGAGTGATACTGACTGGTGTGTGGGTTGGGGGTCCCCAGTGCCACTGTCAGCAGCTTTGACAGGAGAAGGGAGCAGTTTTCCACAGAGTGAATTTACAGTGTAGAAATGGCATGTGATATTGGGGGTCCCCAGTGCAACTGTCAGCAGCTTTGACAGAAGAAGAAAGCAGTTTTCCACAGTGAATTTACAGTGTAGAAATGGCATGTGATCCGCTGCGCTTCAAGAACATAAATGGTCTCAGAAACGGAATGATTTTCAGGAAATAAAGATTGCTGGCTGTTAAACACAGCTGCACATGCAACGTGTGCCCATCCTGCCAGCATCTTCTCCACCACTCTGTGCACCAAGAACATAAATGGTCTCAAAAACGGAATGATTTTCAGGAAATAAAGATTGGCTGCTAAACACAGCTGCACATGCAACCTGTGCCCATCCTGCCAGCATCTTCTCCACCACAGCGGGGCTGAGACTGCCCCAGGGCAGGGCTGCATTTCCCCGCTCTTGATTCCCACCTTTCCCATTTTCCTCTCTGCCCTCCATCCCTCTGCCTGTGCTTTCTGCGCAGTGGACATGGTGACCCTGGCCACGGCTTTGGAAATCTTCAACGAGCATGACCTGCAGCCCAGCGACCGACCGATGGACGTGGTGGAGGTCATCCACTGCCTGACTGCCCTCTACGAGAGGCTGGAGGAGGAGCGGGGCATCCTGGTGAACGTGCCACTCTGCGTGGACATGAGCCTCAACTGGCTGCTGAACGTCTTTGACAGGTACTGGCCCCTCGACGTCCCCTGAGCTGTGGGGCTGCCATGCCTGGGAGGAAACTTCTGTGCTGCTTTTCCAGCTGGCAGTGCTGCAAAAACCCTCCAAACCATTTGCAGACCCGTGCAATATCTTGCCTTGCAGTGGCCGTAGCGGGAAGATGAGGGCTCTCTCCTTCAAGACAGGCATCGCGTGTCTGTGCGGGACTGAGGTCAAGGAGAAGTTTCAGTGTGAGTCCCTCATCTCCTTCCTTCCCCCAGGACCTGGTGTGGAGTAACCTGGAGAAAGCAGCAGTGCTCTTGTTCCCTGCCTTAGCTTTTCTTTGCCCAGAAAGAGCAGAGAAGTATCTTTCCTATAGTGACTAATCTGCTCACATCGCCACCTCTCACTCCCTCCCTCCCTCTCCAAGCCTACGCCGCCTAAATTAGTTGGCATTTTTGCAGGCTGACTGGTGCTGCGGTGATCTTGCTTGCTTGGCACTATAAGAAATGATGCAGAAAAGGCCAACAGGCAACGGTTATCTGGTGCTCCCAGAAGGAAAAAAAACCCGGGAGTTCATGGGAAGGAGGTTTCAGACAAATTGAAAGAAGCCCCTTTTGTCACTGTGTTTTAACTGTAGTACTCTCTGCCATGGGATACTGCAGACTGGTTGGGATAGGAATCATCAGGGAGTTAAATAAAGCGATTGGACAGATTCATAGAGGACAGGCAAGTTAAAGAAGTGATGTATGTAACCTCTGTCTGAAGAAGACTCTAAATTCCTGGTTACTGGGCACTGGGAGAGTACTGGTAAAGGTTATTTAATCATATCTCAGGTTCTCCCTCTTGGCCTCCCTGTCCATGTGTCTGTGTGTCTGTCCTGCCTGGTGTGCCAGGCTATCAGCTGTGTCTCTAATTGCACTGTATGTCCATCCTGTTGCAGATCTCTTCAGCCAAGTGGCCAGCGCTGGGGGACTCTGTGACCAGCGGCACCTTGGTGTCCTGCTCCACGAGGCCATCCAGGTCCCACGCCAGCTGGGGGAGGTGGCAGCGTTTGGAGGCAGCAACGTGGAGCCCAGCATCCGCAGCTGCTTCCGCTTTGTGAGTAAAGTGGCGTGGCCTTCTGCAGCTGCTGTGCTGGGGAGAGGCTCCTGGAGCTTGCACCCCATCACAGCCAGGTCCCAGCTCTGAGCAGCCCTTTCCTCTCCTCTCCCCAGAGCAATGGGAAGCCCGCTATTGAGGCATCCCAGTTCCTGGAGTGGGCCAACCTGGAGCCGCAGTCCATGGTGTGGTTGGCTGTGCTGCACCGGGTGACCATGGCCGAGCAGGTGAAGCATCAGACCAAGTGTTCCGTCTGCAGGCAGTGCCCCATCAAGGGCTTCAGGTAGGGGTTGTGATAAGGGACCTTGGCCCCCAAGGGAAGTGCATGGTGTCCTGCAGGAGTGAGCTGATTTTGCTCTGTGCTGTTGGGGGGAACCTAGAGCTCTGCAGCAGCAGCATTTCAGACTGGTCAGACCAGGTGCCAGCAGAAGGGAAGGGGCAGGATGCTTTTCTAGGGACCTCAGCTGTCAGCGCTGCGGCTGTGAGAGCCACACAGACCATCTCTGTCCCCTGCTGAGCAATCCTTGGGCTCCAAAATGATGTGTTTTTGCTGATTTTCACTGCTTCCCTATGGCCTCTTGATCTCTTCAGGTATCGGAGCCTGAAGCAGTTCAACGTGGATATCTGCCAGACTTGCTTCCTCACCGGGCGAGCCAGCAAGGGCAACAAGCTGCACTACCCCATCATGGAGTACTACACCCCGGTACGGGGCTGGGCTGGGCTGGGCTGGGAGGGTCTTGGCTCAGAGCAGGTCCCCATCAACAGCAGCAGACGGAGCTGCTGTGTGTCCTCCTTGCTTCCTCACTTGTGTCTGCCTCTTCCTCCATGGAGCTCATGCCCAGCCTGAAGCTCATCTTCCCTGTGGATGCTGACCTACGGTCCCTCACTTTTCATTAAGCAGCACCTTGGTCATGTTTGTGTCTCTGCAGACCACGTCCAGTGAGAACATGAGAGATTTTGCCACGACGCTGAAGAACAAGTTTCGGTCCAAGCAGTACTTCAGCAAGCATCCACAGAGGGGCTACCTGCCCGTCCAGTCTGTACTGGAGGCTGACTTCTCCGAGACGTGAGTTTATTGGGCCCCAGGCTGTGCCTTTTGACCCTGCCTGACGTGTGAGCTCCTCAGATGGATGGAGCATCTCAGTTGTGAGATGGGGCTCCTATGGAAGGGCTGGAGGTGGTGCTTGCTCTGGGAGCAATATGGCACCTAGTTTTCGGAGAAGCAGAGATTTCAGTCTCCCTCTCCAGCCTGTTCCTGGGTCTCCTCAGCCCAGGTGAGACCAGGGCAGCCTCTCCAAGCCCTGGCTTTCAGCGAGAACCACCAAGCCTTGCTGACCAGTGTGCGTCTCTTCCAGACCAGCCTCCTCCCCGATGTTACCGCACGCCGACACTCACTCTCGGATCGAGCACTTTGCCAGCAGGTATCACCACTGGGCGCTGTGTGACTCCCATGGGTGTGGAGGGGTCTGGGGGCAGACACATGGTGAGCTCCTGCTGCCTGCAGCCCAGTCCATGCTTCCTAGCTGCCTGGCAAGCAGGGGCTGGCAGTGCCGTTGGGAAAAGGCATCTGCAGGCCCAGGCAAAGCTGCCTGCACCACTTTGCTCCTGCCTGGGACATGGCTGATGCCATGCAAATTGGCAGCAAACACCATGCATTCAACAGCAGATGTCTTAGTGATGAAGCAGCCTCCATGTACCCTCCTGCTCTTCCTGGCATCAGCTGCTGGTTGGATTCTCACCAGGCAGCATCCCCTTATTCCAGAGACTGTCACCCCAGATCAGCAGTGTCTCTTATTTTCTGAAAAGGCAAAACTCCACAGAGCCTGTAAAGAGAGCAAACTGGTGCAGGCCAGCTGGGAGGGGAGGGTCTTGAAGGGACTACTCTAAGTTGGGTGCATTAGAGCAGACAATCGGGATGTCTTGGATCATATCTCAACCTGTTTCTCTTTCCTCCAGGCTTGCAGAGATGGAAAGCCAGAACTGCTCCTTTTTCAGCGACAGCCTGTCCCCTGACGACAGCCTGTGAGTTCTGCCTCATGGAATGATTTTGGTTGGAAAAGACCTTCAAGATCATTGAGTCCAACCATTGATCCAGCCCTACTAAGTCCACCACTAGGCCAAGTCCCTAAGCATGACATCCACTTGTCTTTTAAACACATCCAGGGATGGTGACTCAACCACCTTCCTGGGAAGCCTGTTCCCCACTTCCCCCTTTCCCCTTCCCCACCAGGGCTCCTGTGGCTCCATGCCTGCCTAGCCAGGGCACAGCAATGTTTTCCTTTCCAAGCTCCTTTGAGTCTGAGGCTCTTGGGCACCCTCAGCTACTCAGGGGTGCTGAGCCACTTCTGAGATCTAGACCTGGAGCAGCCAGAATGTGCTCCCATACAAAACCACTTCCCTCCAGGCTCTCCTTCCCCAAGGGCACACAAATCCCTTAAGACTGGTTTCCCACTAAGAATCACACA